CCGCGGCCCGCCGCAGCCCAGTGCCCTCTGCCCGCGGCGGTGGATGGCATGATGGTGCGGGGAAGGCACCGCGGCCTTGGCCAGCTGAGTCGCGACGGCCGCGGGGGCGGCGGCAGCGGCGGTCGTAGCGGGCTCCCCAGCGGCATGCCAGTGCCCCCCGGGCGCGATGGCTAGCGGCAGCGCTGGGAAGCCCACTGGCGAGGCGGCTTCTCCGGCTCCTGCGAGCGCCGTCGGCGGGGCCAGCTCGCAGCCGCGGAAGAGGCTGGGGTCCGTCTGCGACCACTGCAAGGGCAAGATGCAGCTGGTGGCCGACCTGCTGCTGCTGTCCAGCGAGGCGCGGCCCGTGCTCGTCGAGGGCCCCGCCTCTTGTGCCGGCGCCGAGTCCTTCGAGCAGTGCCGGGACACCATCATCGCGCGCACCAAGGGACTCTCCATCCTCACCCACGACGTGCAGAGCCAGCTCAACATGGGCCGCTTCGGGGAGGCGGGGGACAGCCTGATGGAGCTGGGCGACCTGGTGGTGTCGCTGACCCGCGTGACGCGCTGCCGCCACGAGGTGGAGCAGGGCTGCGCCGTGCTGCGCGCCACGCCGCTGGCCGATCTGACCCCGCAGCTGCTGTTGGAGGTGTCGCAGGGCCTGTCGCGCAACCTCAAGTTTCTGACTGACGCGTGCGCCCTGGCCAGCGACAAGTCGCGGGACCGCTTTTCGCGCGAGCAGTTCAAGCTGGGCGTCAAGTGCATGAGCACGAGCGCGTCGGCGCTGCTGGCCTGCGTGCGCGAGGTCAAGGTGGCGCCCAGCGAGCTGGCCGCGCTCTTCAGCGGGCCCCTGGTGCAGGCCGTGAGCGCCCTGGTGGGCTTCGCCACCGAGCCGCAGTTCCTGGGTCGCGCGGCGGCCGTGAGCGCCGAGGGCAAGGCGGTGCAGACCGCCATCCTCGGCGGCGCCATGAGCGTGGTGTCGGCCTGCGTGCTCCTGACCCAGTGCCTCAGGGATCTGGCGCTGCACCCCGACGGGGGCGCCAAGATGTCGGACCACAGGGAGAGGCTGAGGAACTCGGCCTGCGCCGTGTCTGAAGGCTGTACCCTGCTATCTCAGGCTTTAAGGGAGAGGTCTTCGCCCAGGACTTTACCGCCAGTGAATTCCAATTCTGTGAATTAGCTCCCTGCCCCCCCACCCCCTCTCGCACCCCCAGGCTAAAGGAAGATACTTATTCTCTGCCCTCGTCCATTTATACCAAAGAAATCATAGGTGAAGCCTTCCCCCGTCCCTGTGTTACATGTTCGAGAAGAATCTTCCAGAAGGCTGGGCCATGCACACAATTTGACACCCACGCGTAGAGGGCCCAGGTGTCCATCAGCCCGCACGCAGTAGGGACTGGGAGATGGAAGATGCATTGTCTGCTGGTCGCAGTATGACTCCCACCTCCACCCCGACCCCAACCCGTCTTCCGGAATTTCTCAACTAAATATTAATTGGGCAGGAAGGAGGTCATGTGTTCTTTTCTTTCTTTCCTTTCCTTTTCTTTTCTTTTTTTTTTTCTTTAATTAAAACGTTACCTCAGTTTTCACTCCTTAGACATGGATGTTCCTACCTTTGTTGTTTTTTTTTTTTTTTTTTTTGTACGTCGTTATTTTTTTAAGCAGTCGTGTTGAATTAGGGGTGTACTTGGTGTGGAGAGTATGACTTTGCCCTATGATTTGCAGATGGGGGGAAGCTACTGTGAGCGTGTGTTATATTTTTTAATTTACACTATAGAGTGATTTTTCCCCCCCCCAATGTCAAGTTTTTACCTTGCATGTACTGGAGTATTTATTTCATCTATTAAAACGTTATGTTTCTCAGATGGCTTTTTGCAGTTATTGCTGACTTGTCAATAATTGTGATCTGGCATGCTGCGTATCAGGGATGGAAAAGCTACTTCACTAGAAGTGAGATCGGTCTCTAACCTCCTGGCTGGCTTCCTTGGAGACTTACACTTTTGAACAGCCTGGAACTTGAGAGACAGCTCGTGTAACAGTTTTTTTTTTGCGGCAGCTGACACAAATACTATTGGATTACATACAGTGTTTGGGATGGGGGTTTGGTCTTTTCTCCCAGAGAAAATTGAGGTCCCTTTGTCTCTGCTTTTTTTTTTTTTTTTTTTAAGAATTATTTAACTTTATTTATTTATCTGTATTTAATTTGACCAGAGAGAGAGAGAGAGAAGGAAAGCTGGAAAGTGAGCCACCAGGTCTGGGACTTGAACCACAGTCGGCCATGTGGGGATCCAGTGCCCCCAACCGCCAGGCCACCTGGCGGCCTCTTCTCTGTGCATCTTTGAGTCAAAATGAGTGGTGGTCTGCCTTGTGTTCTGCCTGGCATTTTCAGTGGTAGCACTTCCTGTCCTGTCTGCCAGCCTTCTCAGCTGGGAGCATGTTTGTATGGAGCCAGGTCCAGAGAGAGGATTCAGCATTTTTTGTGTAGACAGGTCTATTCAGACAAGATCCTTGCGATTTTTTTTTTGGGGGGGGGGAGAATAGAGCATCTAATATGTTTCATAGAAGAAGAGGTGTTCTAAAAGGTGTGTTATGAACACAGCATAATTAGACTTCATGAAGGACTTATTTTTGTGGTCTTGCTTTGTCATGGTGGATAGTATGTTGGAAGAATGCTTGGTGGACTGAAATTTGGAGTTATAGTAAGGTACTGTTTTTTTTCTGGAGTCATTTTAAGGAATGCTATTCTTTGTTTGATGGTGGTGGTGTGTGTGTGGATTTCCTGAAACTTTAAATTTTGGACATTTTCCCACTAAAAGCACAACACATTTATTTACAATGCCTGAAACCTGGGATGGCCACATGAGTTTGTTGAGTTTACATTTTTTTGAGATTTGCTGTACTTAAACCTTTGCAGTTCCCACAGATCTGAAAAGAGGATTTTTTGGGCTAGCAGATGGTGTAGTGGTTACGTTGTTGGACTCCCACCTGGGCAGTAATGGTTTGAGTCCTGGACCTGGTGCCAGGTGTGTGCGCATGCGCGCCTCAGATCCCGAGGGGAGAAGAAAGGATTGCGGCCTGGCCATCTTCCCTGAGGGGTGATTCCTCACTTTCTCTTTCACTGTCTGTCTCTCTCCCTAGTGAGTACATGCACCCTACTGCAAAAACAAAAAAAACTCTTAAAAACAAAGAGAATTTTTCACTGTAATTCATTGAAGAGGAAGAAAGGGTGAGTGTTCTTGCTTGAATATTCTTACTACAAGAACATGAAATTCAACATATAAAGTGTCTCTAAACTTGTGTTGGGTAAGACTAGAGCTCTCTCTACTCGGAACTTGAAAATGTCTCAGTTTGGTAGAGTACATAGATTTAAAAAAAAAAAAAAAAAACCTCATGGAGAGAGAGTTTGTTTTCTGTCTTAGGTCCTGGTCAATTGCCGTTGTTAATTAAAGTCTTTCAAAGATGAAAAGGACCTTGAGAATGTTCTTCCTTCTCCTGTGCTTTAAAGTCTGGATCAGGTTCAGGAAGGATTTCAGGGTGAGAGGTTCCTAACTCATGCTAATGGCAAATTGTACGTCCATGTATATAGAAAATTTTACTTTTTACTGTTTGGATTTAGACGAGTGATGCTAGAGTTTGTAATTTTGTGGTTTGTTCAGCCTCTGTGGATCACGAAGAGTAACTGAAAGGAGTAAACAAAGTAAAGAAAGGGCCAGAAATCTGTACATTTGGTATCTGATTAAGAGAAAGAAAAAGAATTGCCAGTTTTTTCCTGGACTCATTCCTTGCAGAAGCAATTTTCAGGACAATTCAAGCCAAAAAAAAAAAAAAATCACTTTTCCTATCTGCTTGATTGAAATTAACTAGCTAGTCACCAAATTAATTTTGATTATTTTTTCTCTAATAGTTGCTCTGAGTGTTTCTTTATATTAAAGGTTTTGGCTTCTACTATTCAAAATCTCTATCTTCTGAGGTTGATTAAAGTTTTAAACTGTAAGTGGTCTTTTAAAACTGCTTTTCCTCCCTTTGCAAGATGAAATTCATGCTTTTTCTTTTAGCAGGTGTCTTGAAATGAATTCTGCTTGTATTTTGTTTTTTCCCCAGCAGGTTTCAAGAAGCCACAGTGAGGCATTGCTTGTCAAGGAAAGGAATTTGAGCACAGTTCTTTGGCATTTTAACTTTCTTCCAATACTGTCAGGTTGGTACACTTATTGTTTAAATAGCCCCAGATTTTTACAAAGGAGCAGCTGAGACCTATTTCACAATGTGGGTTTAATAAGGTCAGCAGAAATACTGGCTCCAGGAATAAAATCCAAGTGGCCTGATTTTTTTTTTTTAAATTAAATCTACACAAGAGTTAATTTAAGACATCAATCCCTGGGTTCTTCTCACTTCCGAGGGCAGGGTTTCTTACACGGGCATAATACATACCATCCTGACCAGGGGATATTGTGAACCTTCTTCCTTCGAATGGTCACGAGGAAAGGAAGTCATTATAGCTGTGTTCTCTAACAAAAGCCATTATTTATGGCCGTCAACCCAAGTAACTAGGACAAAACTGGCTTTCAAACATAAGACTTAACAGGAAAAAAAGCATAGCTCGCTCTTTAGCTGTTTGGAGCTTAGCTTTTATTATTCATTCTGGATTAAGAACTGTAAAAATTGTGTGTGTGTGTCCGTCTCAGTGCTAGCCTCATCTTTATAATTCTGGAAGCATCGGTTAGTTCTGATTGGTTATTATATAAACACTTTTTTTTTTCTTTTTTAAGCCAGCACAGGGATCTAAACTATTTGGCAGTTTCAAACAGCTAATTTTAACAGAAACACCTGTTTTTCCAAATGAACGTGACTATGGTAACATGCAGATCAGGCACAGGATTTGAAAATTGACTGTCAAAGTCCCTCCTGAGCCTTGCTCAGGGAATCTGAAAGCACTTGGAAAATAAATCCAAAGTGGTTTGTCACTTCCACCTGGGGCTGGTCCCGGGGTTTCCCTCTGGTTCAAGCAATTGGAAGAGGCCGTACAGAGACCTGGGTTTCCAGTGTGGACACAGGTATTTGTGCTTCTTTTAGGCACATTCTTGCCTTGATTTAAATCATGTGTGTGTGTGAAATGACTTGGCCTGTTTTGCCTAAAGAGGCTGTTCCCTGAGGGTCTTTTGGGTAGACCAGTTGTCTACTTCTAATTCAGTGACAGGCACCAAGATTAAACTGTCCTGATAAAGGGAAAACATGATACTAGGATCTCCGATTAGGGTCAGTTTCATCGAACTGTGAACCTTTAAGGTTAGAGGCTGACATGTGTAATGTTTTTTTTTTTTTTTTTGGAGAGATTTTCTCTGTAGGGCGCGTG